ACCGAAGGCTCTCGTGAGATCCAGTTTAAAGTCCATCTTCAATCTCTGAGTGGTTTTTGACCAATCGCACTCTCTCAAGCCAGGCTACTCCATAGGGCAGTGGTGGGTTGCTCCCGGTTCTGTCCGGTTCTTTAGAACCAGTAGTAAAAGCAGCGGGAAGCTCTGCCCACCTGCCCGGATGTCATAATTGACAATCTGTGCATGCGCAGAAGCGCACACACGTGCTCCCGTTGTGAACTGGTAGTAAAGGTAAGTAGAACCCACCCCTGCCATAGGGACATTGTAAGGAAAAGCATGGTATATACCATCTTTAGTTCTTGAAGGAAAAGGAGGATGTAAAGCTAGAAATTAAATAGATAAATCAATAAAAATTACATATAGTTAATGATTACTCTTTCATCATTATTTCCCTACCCCCCATTCAAACTAATTTGGTGAAAACACTGCAAAGTTTTTGGGATCTATTGACATGGCTTTCAGTGTACAAAGGGGGCTCTGTCGATGTACAGGTAGCCCTCGATTTATGACCCTTAATGATTATTCAAAGTTACAATGGACCTCTCCAGAGCTATTTACAACCTGTTTTCAAAGTTATGGCTGCCTTCACCTCCGCTGCAGTCATATGATACGTTTTAGGCACTTGGCGAGTGACTTACCTTTACAGTGGTTTTTTGTGGGTTTCTGATGTTTACTTCAGATTTCAGACAAAAATGGTGATTGCTTAATGTCTGGTGTTTACTGAATCACCACCCCCAAAAAATAATCTTTAAAAAATTGGGTCGACACATGATGCCTTGACGTATGATCTAAAAGGCTTACCACCATAATTCTGGGCTCATTTATAGTCATAACTGAGTATACTCCCCATGCCTGCATGGTTAAATCAGAACTGATTTAACAGGAAGTTAAAACATCAGGTATACTTGGCATACATGATTGAACTTTGATATCACAGAAAAGTCAGAGCAATGTTTAATTGGATCAACTAGCTAACAGAACCCTCTCCTTTGTGAACATATGAAAGGAGACAAAGGTGTCAGGGATCGATCCCATTCGGGTAGCAATGAAATCAGTACAGCACTAAAAGGCAAATAGTTTTTTGTTCAGTATGGATGTATTCTCTAGTAAGTAGTATGTACCCCTGATGACCCATGTGATTTAAACAATTGTAACTTAAATTAAATAGGCTCCACCATGATGTCACTATGTTCAACCTTCGATTTTTATCCCAAGATCAAACAAATCAGCCACCATGTCTAATACCAACATAAATCTGCACCTGTACATTGTATTTTATTTAATCAGCTTTAATGGTAAAATAGTAAGAAATAGCAGTCTTTAAAAATTTACTCTGAATAATGACAAAATTGAAGACAGCTGACATTTTAGATAACGGTACAAAGCATGTACATAGAATGTCATGCAACCAAATGATTTGTAAAGCCTTAAACAGAGCATGGTGATAAAAAGTAAACATTATGAATGCTGAGAAAATGTTGATTTTAAAATATTGTTATGCTGCTTAAATAACTATATCTCAAATATTATATATATTACATTATATTATGTAATAATTAGAGCATGGAAAGACACAAAAACATTTTAAATTATCCTAAAACTGTTCATATTTCTAATCTTATTATTATATATAAAACAGATACGTTGAAAAATAGGAGAGAGAAAAAATCATAGAATTTCACAATCAAACCATTTTTATTTCCCAAACTGGTAGCATATAAATTGGCAAGGGAAAATAGTAGTGGCTATTATCTAAAGCAATGGATAATGTAAACAGATTAAAATCTTGAAGGGAAAACCTTGTAATGATTTCATCTGATTCATTTCGTAATTAAAATTTTAAAATTTGACATTCATAGATGTCACTGCAGATGTACTGCAGATGTAGGTTATGAGACGTCGACAAACTGTTTATCAAGAAGTATTTATTATCTGCTTAAAATGTGACTCATACTTATTACAGAGGGGCATGATCACCACCTAAATTGGTGGTTTTAAAACTGATTACATAATTAGATGGAAAATGAATGTATCAATGGAGCTTCCAATTTATACCAAGGATATGGACCAAAAAAATGGCTAGAAAGGAATAAACCTAATTTGGAATCCAACTGCACAAAGCTAGATTTCATTCATTCATTCAATTGAACATCCATTTGTCTCGATGGTTAAAAGACTCCTACCGTGTAACGGGCTGGACTAAAAACCTCCAAGATCTCTTCCAGGCTGCTATGATTCTGATTCACTTTAGAGCTGCTTTTCTCCAAATTGGCATATAACTTTCCTAATTACTTGCCACCATAAATCACTGCACACTATAGGCCAATGCATTTCAGGCTATCAAGTGAGGAGTGACCATTGTAGAGCTTTGTCACACGAAAGAAAAATGACAACTATTGAATGTATGCAGTAGTGAGATTCAAATGATTTAACAACTGATTCTCTGCCCTAATGACTGGGTGGGTGGTCATGTGACTGGGTGGGGGTGGCCAACTTGATGTCACTCACATTGAGGGGTGCTTCACCTTGCCTGGCCTGTCATGACCGTGGGAATGCTGCAATGGTCGTAAATGCGGAAAACGGTCATAGGTCACTTTTTTCAGTGCCATTGTAACTTTGAATGGTCACTAAATAAACTGTTCTAAGTCAAAGATTACCTATACAAAAATACAAAAAGCTTCTTTGCTTGCAAAAAGCTGCCCTAAATACCAATTATTAGATTAGAAAGCCTTACTATCATGAGAGAAAACTAAAACAAATTGGAAGGAGGATCCACTTACTATCGTGAGCAATCATGTGCCTTGGCCACTCTAAAGCAATACAAGGGATTCCTGTCCCAAAGGTGCTTTTTCAAGAGGCAACTGAATTTTCTGAAAACCAAGAAAGTCCAGTTGCCTCTTGAAAAAAGCACCTTTGGGACAGCCATGACCTGGATGACTGAAGAATCCCTGACAAAGCACAGTTTCCCACCCAGAAGAAGCAATCTAATTAGATCCATTTGCACCACTTAAAGATACCAGCTGGTCTCACTCATCTCACAAGATATCTTAAGGAAATCATCCAGATTTAATGAAAGATCGCATGCCCCCAGAAAGGCAGTACAAAAATCAGACAAAGTGCTAAGCTTGCATTCTGCCTTTTGGAAGTACACCCCAAGCAGTGTAAAAAGCTTTTTAAAAAGCCAAGCCCCTAATAAAAATACCAGCAAACAAAAAAACAAACAAACAAAAACTCCAGAGAAGCGGTTCTGGCTAGTCTGGGTGTATTGCCAAGAACCATTAACGGCTGTTACAATGTAACAAGGCTTAACCGGAGAGGCAGTTTCTGAAAACACTTAAAAGATAAACAGGATTAGGCTAGAAACAACACATAGGCACACCAGAATGTTTCCTTCCGGCCTTCCTGACAGGATTAGCCCTGTAAAGTGGCTGTTGGAACGAGATTTCTTCCAACAACCAGTTCGCCGAATTACTCAGAAAGGTAATGAATGGTTCTCCTGAACCGGTGCAAATCAGCTGATTCCCACCACTGAATGTACAGAATATTTAGTATAGCTTTTTCGTGGACTGGACATATTTTTTTTCATTTTTATGATCCTATTGATAGGATATAATAGTGGGATAGAGCAGAATATGGAGACAAAATGTAGAACTCTTTGGAAAATGGGGGTTTGTTGGAAAATGGTAGCAGTCTTTCTTCCATTACTTTTAAAATACAGTTTTTGCTATTATCCTTTGAACTATACAAGCAAAGGTAGAAAATCTGCTGTCCGAACCCAATTTCACTACTCAGAGTTTATTATTCTCCTCCAATTTCCTAGGTTTTATTTTGGGCCTTGTGTTTTTAAACCTACTTTTCAACATTAAAACCAAATCTTACAGCAGATTCTCCTTCCTTTTCACTTTCTCCTCAAACATTCAAGGGCAGTCTTCTGTAGTTGCAGATGAGATTTAAAGAGGCTCTTAGCTGTTGAAAATTTACCTGTACATTATTCTTATACTATGGATTTTAAGAATGCTACTTGTTTGGAGGATTTTCAGATGCAACTTGAAATATAGTTGTGCCTAACAAAATGGGAAGAATGCTTTGTGCAGTGGAGTCTGTTTGTCCAATCCTTTTTTAGGTGTTTGTGTTTAGAGAAGTTAAGAAAACATTTGAGAGATTCCACTTGTCTGTAATTCCCCACCCACCCTCCACCTCCAATTTATTAGCAAGAAATTGCTGGGAAATTTAATTTAAAGAGTGCAGCATCATTGATATTCCAATACTGACATCTATTTTTCTTTTTTAATTCAGCTGAAGAATTGTGATGGAAGTGTTGAACTAAATCAAGGTCAATAGCGGCCTGGATATTAGCATATTAATACTGAACCCAGAAAATATGGAATAGTTAATACTTAGTACAAATCAAAGAGGTAATATTTTATTTTTTGAAATAATCTCATTCTTTACATATCAAATCTACCAGTTTGGGTTTTTTTGGTGGGGGAGAATTATTAATTTCATTCCTTAAATATATTTGTGTGTTATCAGTGTACTATTGGCTCTGTTAAAGAGTTAAACAGTGTAGCTGTTGCTTCTGTTAAAGAGCATGCAGGGTTTGTTGAATTGGTATGATAGAAGAGGAAGCAATTGACATGGTACTGCCATTTGTAGCAACTACTTAACAAAGCAGTTAACAAAAACTCAGTGAAATATAAGATAGTACAATATTCAACTGAACGTTAATAAGAATACTCTTCTTACAAAAACAGCCTGGTGAAGCAAATAAACAAGAACAAGAGTTGGTATTAATCTTTTGAGCAATTTTTACCTTAAAGGTTTGCTAATGAACAGCTAAAAAGGCCATACTGTTTCTTCCAGCCAAATCTGCCACTAAAGGTTCACCTGTCATAAATTGCTAAAACTTCAGAGTATTCCATATAACTTCATCTTTTTCCTATAACTTCATCTTTTTCCAGAAACTGTACCAACTTATTAAATAAGACTTGAGTTATTTATTATAAGCATCACTTGAATCGGATTCACATTATAGAGTTTGGTTTCTATTAAACTCTGAAGATTCATTGGGAAAAACAGCAAAAGGAATAAAATATAGGATTGTGTGTCAAAAGATACAGGAACATAGTGCTTTTGGTGAATTAGGTGCATCATGACACAAGAACAGCTTTGGTATGGCTAATATTCTTAGATTAGGAATCATCATACAGTGGATTGTTGTAGTTTCCCCAGGATCCATAATCATGATCATCAAAAAGTCTGCCATATGAAGAATGCCTATGAATGAAAAAGAAACAGTATCTTACTCTAGTTAGCCATCCTTTTCACTGTACCTTCATCACAGAGGTTTCTCATTATCATATGCAGAGTAAAACAGAAATTAATCAACATCCAAGTACATGAGGGCAGATAAGATATTGTTGCCAATACGGAAACTTGGTGTGATGAAACCCATAAATGGAATATACAGCTAGATGGATTTAAATTATTTAAAAAACCAAGCCCTAATAGAGGAGGAGATGGAATTGCATTATATAAAAGAAATAACTACATCTCTACGGAAATACATTAGAACCGTATTAGAAACCCATCTTGAATGCATTTGGGTCAATATAAAAGAAAAAAAAATGATATTGCTGTAGGTGTATTCTGTAGGTAGGCCACCCAACCAAACAAACTGAGGAAATAGATGAATTTTTTGCTAATAAATTAACTAAGGTATGTAGGAAGCATATCATGATAGTAAGGGAGGACTTTACCTACCCTAATATCAATTGGGAAACAAACGCTTGTAGTTAGTAGAAGATCAAATAGATTCCTGACAAACTGAGCAGAAAACCTGTCTCCCAAAAGGTAGAGGAGGGAACTAAAAGGTCAGCCATACTGGACTTAATTCTCGCTAATAGAGATGAAATGGTAGAAGGTGTTGAAGTTACAGGAACCCTGGAGGTGGGTGGGTAGTGACCATGCAATACTGGAATTCAACATTGTGCAAGCACAAGCAATAGAACAAAGTCAAATTGTAGTCTTTGATTTCAATAAATCTAGAGAGAGCTTGAAAAGGATTCCATGGATAAGAATCCTCAAAAAGAAAACAACCCAAGGAGCTTGAGAAAATTTGAAAAGTGAGATTATAAAAGCGCGATCTAGCACAATTCCAATGATGAAGAAAAATAAGAGATCTCAAAAGAAACCAGCATGGCTGCACAAAAAAAAAAAAAAAAAACTCTCTATAAAATGGAAGGCAAAAAGGACAAGTATGAAAAGTGAATAGAGGGGCACATAACTAAGGCAGAATATTAGCACATAGCCTGAACCTGCAAAGATGAAGTCAGGAGAGCTATGGTTCAAATGAACTATGCGTTGCCACAAAAGTCAAAAATAACAAAAAAGCTTCTTTCAACATATAAAAAAAACAAAAAACAAGAAAACACTCAAGGAAATGATTGGTCCATTAATGGGAGAAAATGGCAAGAAGGTGATGAGAAGCAAGGAGAAAGCCGAACTGCTTAATTCATTATTTGAATCTCTCTTTATGCTAAAGAGAGTCCAATCTATCAATAAAAAAAATACTATAAAATGCAGATTAGGAATGCAAGAAAATGGTAAAAAATAGTCGTGATGCCCCAACTTTGGAGATTTTTAAGAAGAGATTGGACAACTATTTGTATGAAATGGTATAGGATTTCTTGCTTGAGCAGGGGACTAGAAGGCCTCCAAAATTCCTTCCAATTCTGTTATTCAGCTTTTTTCCTACTATTACACATACTTCTGGAAAATAAACCCCTCTGTCCAACTGTCCTTGAGTCATTCAACTGCCAGGTTATTCTTTAAATTCATTCTTCAAATTTGTTTGGATAATCAACATTGTTAATAGGAACATGCCTCATCTTAGTTCAGTACTTATTTCAATCATGAAGTTATCATTCTGTCAATTTTAGGAATAAGTTCAGGAAAACCATCAGCAATATAGAATTCTACCTTGCTTAGCAGCAGCAACAACAGTTACTCTTTAGCTTCCCAGAAAAGAATGACAGACCAAGATCCATATAACAAATATAATCAACTATAGTAGTTGAGAGGAAAAGACAAAAGTTGAAAGATCAAGATTGCGATTATGGCATTTGGGGGGGAGGGGAAGCATTAACCGTTGCTTCCCTTGTCAATCTCCCTATCAACAGCAGAATTTTGTTTCAGGTGGAAAGTTTGTATTTGCACAGAGAAGAAGATGGATATTTAAATAGGAAGAAGAAAAGGAGAAAGGGAGAAAGAAGGAAAGAGTGAGAGAAAGAAGGAAGGAAGGAAGGAAGGAAGGGATGGGAAGGCAGAAACTTTTGTGGTTGTGCAGGGAAGCTCATCACAATATCAAAATTTTGGTTGTAGAAAAATATTGTAGGTAGCAAGAGATAACAGAACAGAGAGAGAAGAAAATGCCAGCAGCGCAACAGGAGAAAGACGAGAAGGTGTGTAAAAACCTGCAGATAAGCAGACAACATAGGTATAGCTTCAAAATAGTAATGGTGCAGCAAATGAGAGAGAGAGAGAGAGAAGGGGAAGACTAAGAACCATCGGGAGGTAGAGTGAGGGAACAATGTAAATGCAGAACAATGAAAGATTTAATGCAAGAAACAGTTAATACTATGGCAATGTACAAATGGATGTGGTCTTGTTATTTATACTGTATATAGAATGAGAGAAAATCAGCAACGGTATATGACATAGTAGGGCACCCACTTTCAGTTCTAAAAAACATCTCAATCTTTCAAACAAATGATTGCTTCTCTTCCAAATAAGAGTTTGCCTAATCTTACCTGATTTTTAAAAATGCAGCTATGCCAAATACCAATAGAACCACAGCAATTACCGTTATAGTAATAGCTGCAATACTTCCTGCATAGGAAAAAAGAATGCATAAATTGGTTGGATGACTAGTTATCATTTCAAGATATTCTTTGGATTCATATCAATACAATATATTTGCACAATGTGTTCTGGAGTAAGAAATTTAGCAATGCAAACTAGTTTTTAGATATACAGTGAGACAAAAAGTATCTGGAAAAATGTGTAATCTACAACTCTTTACATCAACATACTGTAAATACATTCTTTGCATACTTTCTTATTGTCTCACATTCTTCAGAAATGCCAGATGGGGAGTTATTACTTCAATAATGTAGTACAATCATTGCAAATTGCACAAACACAATTTAGTAAAAGCTGCTCCCATAGCTCAGTATTGTTATCCACATACTAAAAATGGCAGAGTGAAGCCAAGAAAACAGCTCCTTGCCTTAAGCCATGAAATGACTTCACTGTGGCAAGATTTCAAATTCATATTCTTAATTAGTTGCTAAATGCCTTTCTAGCTTCTGTATTAGCTCAAAAAGGAAGAAAAGGAATTTCAGAAAGCAGGTAGTGAATGATTTCCTTTCTGGAGTTCTGAAAAATTTTAATGCCTTCTTATTTGCTTGCCAAAGTTGAAGAAAAATGCTCAACTTCCATATTTGGTGCTCTCCATTTCATTGGTACTTGACACATACATGTATCTTTTAAATAAAAAGAAAAGAAGACATGATATAATAATATTATATTATTATATAAGTAGTTAACTATATTGGCTCACCTGAACTCAAAGCCTGCTGAACCTCTTGTATGGTTACCTCTGAGGAGAGTGTGGCACTGCCAATAGGAGTGATCTCAACAGTTGCTTTACTTGCTAAAGTCCCTTGAGAGCTTGATGAGATGAGTGGCTTAGTAGTGACTTCAGATGTGATTCCTTCAACAGGGTGTTTCTTGGAGGTCACAGGTACTGTGGACACTTCTGTACTTGATAACTGAGTAACCCAAGAGCTGGTGTAATCCTCAGGAGCAAATGAACTGCTGCTGATGGATGATACACTCATAATACCTGAAGTGGTGGCAACTACAGTTCCTGCAGAGGAAATATTAGTTGTTGCTGAGCTATGAACTGGCATCACCGAGGATGGCATTTGTTCTGTGCTTTGTAATCCAGTGCTTGGTTTTGATAACAAATTAGTTGTTGATACAGTCATCACTGATGTACTTGATGTGTCATTAGGTATAGACAATGAGGTTGTATCCTTTTCAGTAGGTGTCAGTGCAGTTGTAAAGGAAAACGTAAGAGGACTTGTAACTGTTTTTAAAATAATTTTTGATAAACTGCTGTTGAGTGTAGGGGTCTGATTGATTAATTCTGTTTTTAAAATGTTTGAGGCAATAGATGTATTTGTTGAGGAGATGGAGTAGATATTTAGTCCTGCATAAGAGAATATGAACATTTATATTAGTAGTCTCCAAGACAATACATTTACTTGCATCATTGTCTTTTAGATATCTGAATTAGCATAGGTACCATTATTAATGGGGTGGCATGGTGGCTCAAAGGTTAAGAAGCTGGGCTTACCATCTGGAAAGCCAGCAGCCCAGTTTGAAACCTGAGTGCTATATAATGGAGTGAGTTCCTGTCCTCACCCCAGCTCCTGCCAACTTAGCAGTTCAACAGTATGTAAATGCAAGTAGATAAATAGATACCATTTCTATGAGAAGGTCATAGCACTTTGTGACATCATGCTAGTCACATGACCACGGGCAATGGCCTTGAAACAGAGATGAGCACCACCCCCTATAGTTGGCAATGACTAGCGGAATAAAATCCACAAGGACTCTTTTACCTTTTCTTACCATAATAGTGTATTATAACTATTTTAAATTGCTATTTGTTTTGCTTGCCTTGGTTTATTTTCAGTAAGTTAATTATCATTATCCAACCCTGAAGGTAAACTTAGGTCAGAAAAAAAAAATCTTAAATAAAACAAAATAGAAGTTGCTATTTAGTCCTGTGGAAAAATGAAAGGACAGTACTTGGATAAATTATTCAGATGAGAACTATCTTTTCATGTTAGTATTTACACTCATCAAAATAGGGGTTAAAAAATACTGAATACTGGATAAATACTCTTATTGATATTACTCAGTGAAATAGGTGCATTCAAATGAAAAGCAGACCTGCAAACTTATGAACTATGTAGAACAAATATTTCTCTAATTGGCATTAGAAGACAATTAGAATTTGTCCAACTTCCTTAAAACACTAGCCAACTAGGAAATAAGATTTACTGCCAGAAGCAATAATTCAATTTCTGTTCCTTTTAAGCTTCTTTAGTGATAGGTTTTTTTAAACACTAACATGACTTGTCTGTTGCTAGCAGCAATGCCTCCAGGTCCCACTATCTGCTATAAGATCCCTGCTCTTTTCTCCTGCCCTATTGAGCCTGAGAGTCATCTTCTCTCTACAGGTAACCCTCAATTTACAATCACAATTGAGCCCAAAATTTATGTTGTTAAGTGAGAATTTGTTAAGTGAGTTCTGCCCCATTTTATGACATTTCGTACCACAGTTGTTCAGTGAATAACTGAAGTTGATAAATTAGTAATCTGGTTGTTAAGTGAATCCGGCTTCCCCATCCCCATTGACTTTGCTTGTCAGAAGGTTGTAAAAAGTAATCACATGACCCCAACATGCAGCAATGGTCATAAGTATGAACCAGTTGCCAAGCATCTGAATTTTGATCACATGATCATGGAGATGCTGCAAATGTTGTAGCTGTGAAAAATAGTCATAAGTCACTTTTTCTGTGCCATTGTAACTTTGAACGATCACTAAATGAATTGTTGTAAGTCAAGGACTACCTATATATAAAACATCTCACTTAAAACTATGAACTACATCAATACAATACTCAAGGATTAAAATTAAAAATATATACTCTATATGTAACCCATTTGCCACTGCAATCATAGATGCAGTACAAATACAGTTACAAGTTATAGTCCAATAATAGTTTCAAGTTAGAATTAAAATCTATGTTAACATTTCCTTTTAAATACAAAATTATTCTGGACATTGAAGTATATTCTCACAATTAGGTTAATCATTTTCAAGGAAGGAATCAAAAATTCTTTTCAGTAAAATATATATATATATTTTAAAATATATATATTTTAAAATAATTTTTAAAATATATATATTTGTTTTCTGATGTTTTCATGGGTGTTTGTATGTAGGTCTTTGGTTATTCGGGTTTTCTTCTGCGTAAAATTGGAGGTGTCTTGGCAATGTTTCGACGAAGTCTCATTCGTCATCTTCAGGCTGGTGTTTTCGGCTTCGTGCTTCTAGGAGCAATGTTGCCAAGACACCTCCAATTTTACGCGGGAGAAAACCCGAATAACCAAAGACACACACACACACACACACACACACACACACACTGTACAATATTCAGTTCAATTACAACACTCAAGTTCTGTTCCATTCCACTATGGGTAATTTTCCAGAATTGTTTGGTTTTATACCATTGCGACTACATATGATAAAAGACACAAAAGCAATCCAATCTATTTATTACATTTCAAAACTAGGAAAGGCATTGTTCATTTTAACAATAAAAACTGCAATAATATGTCAATTATCTTTTCTTGAAATTTCTACCATTGTACGTTTCTCTATTACTGTAGTCAAATTCTGCATCCAATTAATCATACAATCTTTGACCTCTTCAGATCATGAATAACAGAATAACAGAGTTGGAAGGGACCTTGGAAGTCTTCTAGTCCAACTTCCTGCTCAAGTAGAAGACCCTATACCAGTGATGGCTAACCTTTTTGCCGTCGCGTGCCAAAAGCGGGGGGGAGCGCAGGGGCGGTCAATGCGTCCCTCCCCCCCATGCATGCATGCGTAACCCCCCCCCCACACACCCCTGCTTTTGGCACGTGATGGCACAGTGGGCCCAGTAGGCCCCTTTTTTGCCCTCCCAAAGCTCCAGGGGCTTTCTTGGAACTTGGGGAGGGCGAAAACAGCCTCCCCCCCCCTGGAGGCCCTCTGGAGGCCAGAAACAGCCCATTTCCCAACATCTGGTGGACCTGGAAGGCCCAAAAAGCAGCTGGCCAGCCCGCTCATGCGTGCTGGAACTGAGCTAGGGCAATGCTCGCGTGCCCACAGATATGGCTCCAGGTGCCACCTGTGGCACGCGTGCCATAGGTTTGCCATCACGGCCCTATATCATTTCAGACAAATGGCTGTCCAACCTCTTCTTAAAAACTTCCAGTGAACAACTTCTGAAGGCAATATTATGTTCCACTGATTAGTGGTTTCATTCTCTGGAAATTTCTTCTTAGTTTTAGGTTGGATCTCTCTTGCATAAGTTTCCATCTGTTATTTCTTCTCTTGCCTTCAGGTGCTTTGGAGAATAGGTCATCCCCCTCTTCTTTGTAAAGGATCTCAAATACTCATTTTCCTCATTAGGCATTCCCAGTTCCTGCAACTGTTCACCATATATTTTAGCCTCCAGCCCTCTAATCACTTTTGTTGTTCATCTCTGCACTTAATACCATTTTTTCTACCATGGTGACAAAAGTTGGACGCAGTATTCGAAGTGTGGTCTTACTAAAGCAGTGCATAGCAGCACTAATACTTCAGGTAATCTTAATAGTTTTCCTCTGTTAATGCAGCCTAGGACTGCACTGGGTTTTTTGACAGTTGCAAGACACTGCTGGCTAATGCAGGTAGTCCTTGACTTGTAACAGTTCATTTAGTGACCGTTCAAAGTTACAGCAGCACTGAAAAAAATGACTTAGGATCATTTTTCACACTTACAACCATTGCAGCATCTCCATAATCATGTGATCAAAATTCAAACACTTTCCAACCGACTAGTATTTATGATGGTTGCAGTGTCCCAGGATCATGTGATCAGCTTTTGTGAACTTCTGACAAGCAAAGTCAATGGGGAAGCCAGCCATGTTACTAATTTAACAACTGCAGTAATTCATTTAACAACTGTGGCAAGAATGGTTGTAAAATGGGGCAAAATTCATTGAACAAATACCTTGCTTAGCAACATAAATTTTGGGATCAATTGTGGTCGTAAATCAAGGACTATCTGTCCTTTAGTGGTTGTCCATTAGACTGTCTAGATCCCTCTCACAGTTACTGCTGTCAAACCAGGTATCATCTATTCTCTATCTGTGCATTTGGTTTTTCACGTAAAACCTTACTGTTCTTGCCACTGAATGGTATCTTGTTGGATAGGGCCTAGTTTGCCTTCAAGTCTGTAAAGATCCTTCTGAATCTTGAGCCTATCTTCTAAAGTGCTATTTCTCCTAGTTTAGTGTCATCGGTAAATCTGATGAGTTCCCTTTCTCCCCACATTTTTCTATCTTACCAAGAAGCAGTTTTGGGTTGTGGTCTACTTTGTTAAATACATTTTTGAAATCCAATTATGCTATGTTCACATTTCGCTGGTCCATTAATTTAGTCACTTTGTCAAAGAATAAAATAAGATTTGTTTGGCATGATTTGTTTTCAATAAACCTGTGTTAGCTTCTAGTAATAGTTTGTCTTTTGGGCGATAAAGTTGTCCCCTGGGTCATCAGGAACCTGTTTGATCTCCCACGAGGTGCAGAGTTTGTCTCTCAGTTGATATCAAGGTAGTTAAAGTCCTCCATTACTATTGCAGCGTACTACTTCCTGCACACCTAATCTAACCAATTAGCAAAAAATTCACCTATTTCCTCTGTTTGGTTGGGTGGTATGTAGGACGCACCTATTACAATGTCATTTCTTTTTCATTTTATATTAACACAAATACATTCAGCTATTCAGTTGTCAGTTGTTCATTAGTCAAGATAATACTAATCAATTAGGTCAAATGCTTTCCCTTAGTATACATAAGGTTTGGAAGTCAATGGCTACTAGCCATAAGTGGTTACCCTCAAGTTCAGCAGTTTAAGCTTCTTTAGATCAGGTATGGGGAACTCAAGCACAAGACTTCTGTTGAACTCATCTCCTGCCTAGGTTCCTGTGGGTCTCTACAGGAACAAAAGTCTGGATTAGAAGTCCTTTGAATTAGTCCAGCATGGTTGGTCTTCTGGCAGGAACCTCATCTTTGAAAAGAATTCAGCATTAAGTCTGATGAAACTTATATTTAACCCTTTCTAAACAAATGAACAGACGGAGCTAACAGGTTTGGTGGCCCTCAGCTGAAGTTCAAGCAGGAAGAAGAAGCAAGAGAGATGACGGACTAGAAAAAAAATCAACTTTATGGGGTGAAAACATCATCCCCTGAATAATTGCTAATTGTAAGAAAGACACTGTAACAGTGGCTGATTGCCCATAGTGAGTTCCTAACAAGTTTTCTTTCCAGGTGGATAACAGTACTGGACAGATAGCAATACTTTGGACATGGACCAGCACTTGTG